TTATATAAATAAATAATACAAAAAATTATTTCTATATTCTTGGTGAAAATTTTTTTTTAAAATTGATGACGTGGACTTTTTAATTCAATTGATATTTTGACCAAAATAAAAAATAAGAAAACTATTTTAAAAGTAAACTTACCAATTTGCCCTTAGAACCCATCTTCTTCCGAACAACCCTTACTTCTTGGCAAAAACCCTTGTTAAGCCCCCAAACTTATTCCAAAATAACATTTAAGTCCTTAAACTAAAAATAAAGCAAATAAGCCCTCTAACTTTACGAATGATGCAAATAAGCCCTTCTCAGAAACAGGTCAAACGGTGAGATTCACGATGGACTAACTCTATTTCTTTTTTGCATTTCCACTAATCCACGTAGACATATATATGCTGATGTGGCACCTTCTATGTGCACATATATGTTGAGGTGGATAAAAAAAAGGCTAAATTCATGCGCAATGTAAAAAAAAAAATCAAAAAATTCTCTATTTAAGTCTTGCTTAAGGCTTCGACCTCATTTGTGCCCCTCTTCTGCAAAAATCCTCCACCTCTTTTATTAGAAATTGAAATTAACATAGGGTTTTTGCTCCATGTATCGCGCAAATAGGCTATACTCCAAGGTATTGATGTTGGTGGCCAGATTCCAAGCCAGTTGCAAATCCTATCAATGTTCATCTAGCGTGAAGGCGAAGATGGAGGAGAAGGTGGAAGAGGAGGCAACGGTGAAGGGAGGCAGAGGCGAAGGTGGAGTCAGAAGTGGAGACAAAAGTGGAGCCGGAGGCAGAGGCAGAGGTGGAGCTAGAGCTGGAGTTGGAGTCGGAGTCGGAGCCAAAGTTAGGGCCAGAGTGGAGATCGAGATCGGAGGTTATGAGAGGTGACTTTAGGGCCCTGTGTCATCCTTGTTTTAAGTTGGTATTTTCTTAAATTTGATATGTTAAATGGTGTTCATTTTATTTTATTTTTTTTTCCAAATTTATCATTTATTGATATTTTCCTACTCTATTTTTTCTTTTTCAACAAAAGGGTAAATAAAATGCCTTTGACTAAAATGATGGATAAATAGTTGGAAGAGCACATGATGTAATTTGGAATGTACAACTGAAAGTATTATTCGCAAGGCATCAACCAAAAATGGCTCAATCACTATTTTATTCCTATTTATTTTAAAGCATGAATGCGTTCCATATATCATTACAATTATTAAAGCACCCATGTTTAATATCACAAGCAATTCTTTGCCTACCTGGCTCATTCTTTTTCCAATGAGGTTGGCATCCCTTTCTTATTGAGTATTTGACAATGGCTTTCTTGAATTGAATTGCATTCTCAAATGCCATTCCTACCTCAAAGTGTGGATAGTCATAGTTAGGATCATAATGCAAGGAACTACTTGCCCTTCTCAATGCATTATCCTTCACATTCAGGTCCTTTATAGAATCACTGTAGTAACTTTCAGCATCATCACTGTCAATATAAGTACTACTGCTACCATACTCTATATCACTATATTCAATGTTTGAGTTGTCCACTAGTCGAAAGCCTTCAAAATCAACAAGTTCTTTAATTATGATTCCTTTTAAGCTGGATGATGCCATAACACCTCCATTCCTCTCACTTTTCTGTTGCCGGCATGCCTTGGTCGCCTTTTCTTTCCCTTTATCATTTGTTTTCCTACCATGGCTTAAAGTATCAGTGCTATCCATGTCACCCATCAAATTTCTCACTTTATTATTCCCAACTAATAACTCATCATCATTAGTATCATTTCCCAATACCTCTGGATGTAACAGCAACTTTCCTACTCCAATAGCAACTTCTTCATCAACATTAAGTTGACCATGTTCAACATAAACATAACATATACTCGATTGTATTAAAATCTTAGCAACCCCAATCACTTCAACATCACCACAAAGAGGATGCAGCCCATGTATCATAGACAAATGTGGAACTTTGTAATACAATCCTTTGAATGAGCTAAAACCCAACTCTATAACCTTGTCCTTAATATCCCAATAGCATAGCTTATCCACATCATAGACTGGTAAATCATAACTTTCCCCCCCACTGTAACATGACTTGTGAGCACCAAATTGACCATCATAATGTATGCATATCGTAAAAGGTGCATCTTCACCTATAGGTTTGCTGCTCAAAATTTCATAAACAAAACAGATTATTTGATGATAATATTAGGTAATCAAGTAATTAGGAATGTTAAGTATGTATGTTAAGTAACAATTGATCTATGAATCTATTTCCACAATTCAAATATTACACCTCATTTACAAGAACCCCAATGGCAATCAAGTAACTAGTGATTTTAATATACCTAATAAACTCGAAATTACAATTTTTTATCTGTTTATTGTAGATTGGTAAATAATAAAACAAAATGAAGGAAAGCACCACAAGCCTCATGTGTTTTACACATCAAATAACAGTAAATGGATTCACCTATAGGATGAAATCAAACTCGAAATTGTTGAGATTCAAGATTCTTTAGTGCTTGTCTTCCACTTGTGATCCCTTCTATGTCTAGTAGAAGCAGACTTTCTTTTGTAAACTTTTAAACTACAGCTTTTAATGGCCTTTCGATTTCTTTAGATTTTTTTTTATTTAGATTTTTTAGAATTTTAGCGAAATCTTTACCGCCCAAAAAACCCTTTATATATGGATGGTGCCACGTCAATATATATTTGTCTATGTGGATTTGTGGAAGTGCAAAAAAGAAATGAAGTTGGTCCACCATGAATCTCATCATTTGGCCCGTTTGTGAGAAAGGCTTATTTGCATCATTCGTAGAGTTTGAGGGCTTATCTACTTCATTTTTAGTTTGAGGGTTTAAATGTTATTTTGGATAAGTCTGGGGGCTTAAGAAGGGTTTTTCCCTTACTTCTTTTTCGCCTCTCTGTTCCTCACGTTTATTTCTTCTT